CTCGCTATAATTCACAGCAATCACACACTTACTTATGGTGCCTACTGCTCGCTTGACTCGATTATCTCAATTATCTCTCTTCAATCTATCTCCGGCTTATGTACTAAAGAAGAGGGCATCTAGCAAATGCTGGGACATTTGTGAGGTTGCCCGCTAAGTCATGATCCTTCTAAAACTCCAGCGCGCATGCTCCCAGCATCGCGTGACTTCCGCTGTTGTAACAGTATGTACATTTTTCTATTTTTAATTTTAAACATTTCACTGCACAATACATTGTTCATAATACTTGAAATATTCAGAGTACGATACAAAAATAACAAATCTTTAACTAAAATTCTTAATTAAAACAATCTCATTTATTGTGTACAAAATACTTCTAATCTTTAACAAAATCTTACCAATTGTTGTGAAGATATATTAAGAAAGCTCAGAGTTGTTGTAAGTATTGTTGAACTGTGTATCATTCTCCATATAAGAAGTAGCCAAATGGGTTCAACTCCATAACCATAAGGTTAAGAAGGGCTACAGCTGTTATTGCAGAAAGGTTGCTTTAAGTTTTATTACAGGCATCTTGTCTTTTGACAGTTTGAATTTTTTTTTTTCAAGATTATAATTCTTACCATTTTAGGACATTTATTTTGACACGACAGCATTTTCTCTTTCTCTCCTGCTGTCGAAGATGTCCACTGATGACATGGAATGTAGACTGTATTGAGCTGGCAGTGACACTTTTTACGATATCTTTGCTGGCAGGGTGGACAGGGATCAGGGTGGCAAGGAAGTAGACAGAAATGAGTGCAACCTGCTGGTCGTGGTTTACTACAGGATTCTTCACAAGGCTGACAAGTTTCTCCAGCCTGCATTACAATAAACTTTATCATTATTGACTCAATAACCAGTCTTTTAGGAAAACTGTATAATCTGAGCTGCAATAAGTTCCTAACATGTAAATGTCACTTTTTTTAGCCTGTGTGAAATCTTCTACATAAAAAATATGCTACTGTAACTACACTTAACAGTATTCTGGATTTGTTTATTCAATCTTTATTTATCTAAATTTTATTAATATTTCTTTTTTTATTTGTATTCTGCATATTCTACGACTGAAAGTTAAAACACTGATCTAAAACAGAAACAACCAAAACTGTATAATATTATATATTTTGTTAATTTATAAACGAAATGATAATTAGCTATCACAAAGCACAAGTGACTTAACACACAGAACCAGCATGAATAAAACACAATAACTACTAGGAAATATTCTCTTTATTTGATTGCAAGTCTAAGTCTCCCACTTAATAGACAGTATACTGTAGCTAAAAAGCAGGATAAGATTTAACACTCCTTAATGTAATGTTCTTTACAGTAGTTATAGCTAGGTCACTTTTGCTGATGATGTAGCAGTAATTACAGGTTTGAATATTACCTCCAGAACAGTAAGATACACATTAGCATAAAGTAGTCTCAGTAGATACTCATAAACCACTGCTTAGGAGAGAAAACCAAACCAAAAGTAAGAAATGGATATCAGACTTCAAACAATGGGATGAGTAAAGCTGGGGAAAGTGCTCTTTACAGATTATTCCAAATTCAAATCCCTTAACAACAATTAACAGTAGTTTGTTCAATGGCAGAGGAATGACAAAAACATTTGTATCTTGTTATCTATGAGCCTACAAGCTCTAGACACAAAGCCTCTTCATAGCTATCAGCTGTTCAACACATACAAATAAAAAATATGGCATGGATGCTTTTTAAGCTAATTATAACATAGAAAAGCTAAAAAATGAAACTGAACAATATTTGTATGCTTGGTATTCTAGACTTTATTGATACAATCTTTACTTGTCACAGTTTTACATCCATCTTTTGAAAGCTATTTTGATTGTCTGTTCTTTGTATTTTGAACTTTATTTTGTACATTTAACAATCAAAAGTAAAAACAGCAACATTACCTTTCACAAAAATATCTTCAGTTGGTAATCAGAATACAATGTATAATATCAAATTTATTATATAACTAAAATAATCATCAAAGTACACTGTTCTTCCCTAGGGGAAAAAAAATCTAAAACACACTATACCTGAAGCTCTGTAGATGCATTGACTACTGTATGACATTCCAGAGAGCACGAGTGATTACCACAACCCAAAAGACGCCCACAAGATTTCCCGCATGACCATGGCCTTGCCTCTGAACAGGGAAAATTTGGTGTCTGAAGTAAAAAGACAGTTTAATTTTAGACGTACAAGAGATTTTTGCTCACTCTCTTGCTGCTCAACAGTTTATGCTGATACGTTACAAAACACTTCCACTCTATAAAACAACATACACTTTTAGATCCTTTACCGAGAAATGTTTAGTTTCAAAGTTCATAAAAAAGTTATATGTGATGATAAAAATTTATCAATGGATATATGCAATAGAACTTCTTAACATAAACTGATGTCTACTAAGGTTTAAATGAACATTTCAAGATCAATAACTGACAAAGTATTAGATATAAATCAACATAAAGAGAGATAAAGAAGATTTGGATAATTGTGCTCTTTTCTTTAAGGCATTAATACAAACTTATGAAAACTTTTTGTCCATTCTGTCCCTCAAATGAAATGTTTTATTGGAACAGTACCATAATAACCAATAAAAGTTAACATTTTCATAGAGTGAAAATGTATTTGATAGGTACTTACCTCTACTCACACAAAGCTATCTCGATCCTGGACTGCATTCTAAGCATGGCTAAAATTGTTTGCTAACAGCACACCAGTCTTTCATATACCCAATCAGTTTCACACCATTTCAGAACATGTGCTATTCACGTGACCAATCATACTGCACCATCTATACTATCACAACTAGCTCCCTCTACTATTCTAGAACAATTTTCACCTTTGAGAATTATCAGGTACAAACCTGAAACACCGGCATATAAGTGGGGAGGAAGGGTAGGAAAGGTAAGTACCTATCTGAAATACATTTTCAGTGTAAGAAAATGTTAACTTCTGAATCAGTCTTACCTCCTCTAACCCAAAGCTAGAAGACCACATTGCAAAGGTGGAAGGGCCAGTGAAGGCGCATCAATATCCAATCAAGCGGAAAGCGACTGTACTAAAAGAACGATGTGCAAGAACATGAAAAAAAAGCACACCTGTGGGATATAGCACTACTTCCAGAACAGGCATGCTCTTTGTGCAGTAATTAGCACACGAACAAAAAGAGGGCGGAACTCAATTGGCAGGCACCAATGTATTCGGGAAAGAGACATACAGCACCGAATCAGTGGGAAAGTGCTGTATAATCATGACTTGAAACATGGAAAGAATAGTGTGGAAGCAACAATGAGCCCATATAAGTAGGTGTCAAGGGCAGTGCCTTGGGTTTCATCAGAGTATGTCAAGTGTGGTCCTCCCGAGCAAAAACATCCAGGGGAAGCACCCTGGATATGTAGGATTATGAGAAGAAAAAAAATCCAGGTATGAGTGTGATCATAAGGGTTTTCATAACCAGCCCAATGTCATACTTCACTGACATATGTAGCAGGCCGTAGTACCGGACATAGTGATAGCCATAATATTGTGCTAAAGAAAAACGACATAACTATACGTGGCTAGGACTGTATATGAATAGGCCAAGTGTGGTCTGCTCAGACAAAAAACATCCATAGGAAGTGCCTTATTATTTTCCCCAAGTGTGGTCTGCCTAGGCATAAACATCCAAGTGAAGTCCATCTGGGCAAAAAAGATCCAATGGAAGCAACTTGCATAAGATACAGAAATCAACAAATGTGGTTCCCTCGGGAAACACCCAGGGTGAAGCACCTTGGATATATAGAATTAAGCCAAGTGTAATCCGCACGGGCAAAAAACATCCAGGAGATGCGTCTCAGGTAACATCGGATTATGCCAAGTAAGGTTCATCCGGGCAAAAAACAGCCAGTGAAGCGGCTTGCATAAAAAATTTTTGATCAACAAGTGCAGTCCACCCGGGCAGAAAACAGCCAGTGGAAGCATCTTGCATAAGAAATCTTTTATCAACAAGTGCAGTCTACCTGGGCAAGCACCTTGAATACTGAATATTATTGTATAATTCATTCTTCAATACTGTAATGATTATAACAACTATAGCCCTCTTCTCACTGAGTGGTTACACATGGGCTAGAAAGCTTTATTTTGTTTTACAAAACCCACTCAGGAGGAAACCTCCACGGTCCACCACTCCAGTGACTGGGAATCACAAGTGGTAAGGACTACCTACCTCCAGCAGAAAAGAAGGGGGGGGGAAATACACGTTGGGAAGTCCAGAGGAATGACACACCGGAGACAGTGCAATGAATGTCTGCAATTTCCTATTTTGAGAAGCAGATAGACTCCGATTGTAGGAATCACAGGTCAGTAGGGATGGGCAGAAATCCCCATCTGCTTTACTCATGAGGTCCATGAGTGAAGGTCCTTTATAAATGAAACTAGCAACTTTTAACAAAAAAAATATAGATACACATACCACTGGACAAGCTGTTGGTGGTCTTACAGAAACACTCCATCTCAATAGTGAGCATTATAGAATTATTCATATCTAGTGCAAATATAATATGAAGCATACCTGACCAGGCAACACCCACCACCAGGTGAGATCCTGAAATACGATATGTATAAACTAAAAATATATAGGAAAAGTAATATGTTGACTTACCCCAGTCAAAGGCAAACACCTGTGTAGAATTGCCACAGGAGGAAGATAATACCTGCTTGAGGAAGACACAGCTAGGTTGTGCAGGTAATGTGCTGGGAGTTGTCCACATCCCAGCCTGAACAAATTGGGTGCAAAGAAACACTATGCAGGTAGCAACCTTCCATGGGCAAGTCAGAATATACCAGCTATATGAGTTGATGAACCCAACCAGCGAATGTAATAGGAGACAGATTACAGGACACAGAGGGAATCCTTGGAACAAATAAATGGGAACAATAACATGAAAGAAGGAAGTATGAGCCACATAACATATCAGAGAATGAACCAGACAAAGAAGTATCCAGGAGTACAAGTAGGAAAGAGAAAGTAAGGAAATGCGAGAGAAGGACATACCACCTACTTGGGCAGCAGATGTCTAGGGAAGGAAAACCCAGTCAAGATAGAGGATAACATAAGAGCAATGGGAAATGATGTGGGAAACATCCATGCCATAAATGTCAGAACCACGACAACCACAAGCAAGGAGGAGGAAAAGGACTTAAGGGAAAGATGGTACAAGGAACACATAATAATAGGTTCACATGGAAAACTGGGCAGGGCATGATGGACAAAACTGAAATACAATATGACAAAACAAAATGAGGAGGACGGACACGATGAAAGGAATGAAAAAGGAAGGAAATAATAAGGTAGGAGAAAGCTTTCTGGAAATGGAAAAATCAGAAGGTGTTCAACAGGACAGCCTGATAATTAGAAACAGTTGACATGGACTAATCCTGAACAAAAAACAATTGCAAAAAATGAAGTACTGAAGGATGGGAGATGCAGAAGCCATGGCGAATGGACCAAGGTCTGAAGGTAGACCACTGCCTCTGGAACACAGACAAGTGGGAAGGTCGATTGAACAGGAAAGGAAAGACACTACATGAGGAGTGAGTCCCTGAGCTTAGGCAAGGGACAGAACAAAAGACACACATAAAGATGGAGTTTGCTGACATCGGAATGAAATATGTCTGATCCCGATTGTCAGAGAAAAGATTGGGACAGAGATAAGGGCAGTGGATGACGTTCCAGTAATGACCAGAGCAGAGGGTACTACACCAAGCAGGCCAATATGGAACAACATGTAGGACACAACAAGGAGTGGTCTGGAGACGGGAAATGACTCTGAAGAGGAGGCTTATTGGAGGGCAGGCAAATGGTTGAAGACCCCTCCAATCCTGACTGAATGCATCTACTCCTAGAGTAGACATTTTGATATTCCAGTGGCAAACACATCTGTATGTTGTGTTCCCAGTTGAGAACACACTCACTGAAATATCCATGGAAGAAAAGATAATCGTTCAGCCACCATATTCATAATGCTGGGAATGTGGCATGCCAAGATCACTATGTAGTGGTCGTGGGCCCAGTAAAGAAGATCCAGAGTCTGAAAACACAGAGATCTAGATTTGGTGATATAGATAATGACAGTGGAATAGTTTGAATGAATCATAACAACCCACCCCTTCAGGAGTGGGAGGAAATGATACAGAGCCCTACGAACTGGAAAAAGTTCCAGGATGTTGAAAACAGAGAGTAGCCTCCTCAACAAACCATCGACCAGAAATCTCTTGGGATGTCAGAAAAGCCCCCCAACCCAATAAGAAAACTTCAGTATGATACTTCAGACAAGGTGGAGAAATGGGAACCCCCACTGTGGTCAGTTCCCTGTCAAGCCACCAAGCAAGGTCGGCCCTGATTCCAGGGGGAAAGGGTAATGGGATGTTCCCAAGGGATTGTGGGAGAAGTTTCATTGGTCAAGAAACATCCACTGAAGGGAATTCATGTGAGCTCGACCCAAGGGAATGAGAGCTGCCAAGGAAGCCCAGATCCCCAAAACTGAAAGAACCCTCATACAATGAGAAAAGGAGAGGGTAGGGCCATTGAGACTGCCCGTTCCATAATCCTGAGCTGAAGTGGAGAAGGTTGGCTCGATGAAGATGGTAAGTGAAGAAAAAAAACCCAATGGAATAATAATTGAGTGGAGTTAAGAATGGACTTCTCCAACTGGATCAGAAAAACCCTACCTGATTAGCTTCCCAAAGAAGTAAGCAGGCATGATTGACCAACGGGGCATGGGAAGAGATGAACAGGAGCCAATCATTCATGAAAAGGAGAGTTAGAAGATCCAATGAGTGAAAATGATGGGAATAGAAGGTACATCAACAAAACACTCGAAGCTGAAGATAGACCGAATGGCAAGACCCTTGTGGACAAACTGAAGAAAACAATGTGACACTGGAGCAGTTGGAATATGAAGATAGGCATCTGTCATGATGATTTGGTCATCCAGAGTCCTAAGGAAAAAAAACCCTAAAGTAAGAGGTAGGACTCCATGGAGATGCAAGGTGGCTCCAGATAAGAGTTCAATTAGGACAGGTCTATGATGGGTCTCCAATCTCCAGTCTTTAGAGGGACAAAATGAGACGAGAGGAAAAGGTACAATCCCGAGGAGAAGAGAAGGAGCTCTGGGAAGTGGATGGGGGGAGAGAATGGAACTGAAGACAGAAACCTTCAGACAGGACCCATAGAATCCACGGAACTGTCATGAAGTGTAGCCAGAAAGACACATAAGCTAAACATACTTAGAGAAAGTACTCATTACTAATGAACTAACAAAACCTAAAAACTTGTAGAGTCTACAAAGTATATAAAAAATAACAAACTTGGAAAACTATGAAAATCGACCTAAAACATAAAACAATAAGCCTAAAGTACAAAACCACTAAAGGAACTTAGAAGATAAAAGACACATACATATCAAACCTATAAGTCCACTCAAAGAATTGATAAGACAAAGAAAACAAAAGTAAAACCTACTCCAAGGAACATAAGAATGAAAAGACATCCAGTTAACAATAACGAAATCCAACTCAAATTTAATCCCCAATTAGATGTGACTAGTAGTATAGAAAAAGGAACTTACAAACTAACTAACATAAACAGTGAAAGGAAGTATAAATAACGAACCAACATACCCATAAATGAAGTTACAATTACTCAAATAGTAACTATCATGTAAAACCCGTAGGTATACCTAAAATTAAACAAAACAAAGTAATAATCAAACTCTAAATGCAAATTTTATACTAAAGTAACTTAGATGGTAAAAGAATTATAAAACGGACTCCCCACGAACTAAACTCTGTACTTTCCCAGCACACATTGTTGGCTGTCATGAGAATTTCATCATCCATCATATAAACATCATATAAACAAATTAGAATTTGGAAAACAGAAATATTTATAAGGCAAATGAGTACAAACAATGAAAATCAAACACAAGAAGTTGAAACTTATATAAATTTATGATCAAGCATAAACAAAATTTTGTAGTCACATGGAGAGTCAGTTAAAACACACGACTACACAATATAATGCCAACTGAGAAAGTGTGGGTTGTTCTAGAATAGTACATGAAACTAGCTGCGCTAATATAAATGATGCAGTATGATTGGTGGAGGGTAGTCACGTGTTCTGAAATGGGATGAAACTGATGGGGTATAAAAGACTGGTGTGCTGTTAGCGAGAAATTAGAACAATGCTTAGAGGACAGTCCAGGATTGAGATAGTTTTGGGTGAGGGAGGTAGGACCGTTTTGAAATGTAAGGGATCTAATAAAAATATAATATAGGGAAAAAAAATTGTGAATTATTCAGAATTTTTCCCCTTATTTAAAGTATAATTCTTAAAAAATGATGATACCTCATGTTTTCCATAACAGGTAACAGGTACTGGAACTTGACAAGGAGGACAAGGATAATCCAGCATTTCTATACGAGGAGGGGGCACCACTTCCCATGGTCCAGCACGTTTAATCTAGAATTTGAAATGTTAAAAAATATGCAATTAAAATTTAACATAATGTAAGAAAACAACTTAGATTTACCTCTAAATAAAAACAACTTAGGACTACAAGAAAATATAGAGATGTATTTTTAACTATGTTTACAAAATAGTGGTATATCATATATATCAACACATACACATCTTGAGGAAAGAATATATACCAAGCTTGATTTGTAATTTATTAATCAAAACACATAGAGACACATCCTAGTCCCATCACCTTATGCAGCATTTAATGAGATACACATGATAAAGTTAAGAAAGCTTGGCATGATAACAGATAACGATTGAAGTGTATTAGCTTACTTGCTATTATTTGATACAAATTAAAAAACAGAAGAAACAAACTGTTTAATAAATACCTCATATCTGAGGATTCAAAAACATGTAATTGTATACCTTTGGAGGTTCAATCTTGGTAAGAACAGCTACATGACAAACAGCAGGACAGATGTGTCCACAGTCAAGCTTTTCATTACAAATCTGAGAACAAGGTGGACAGTTACCAAAGTGACAGCGGTGAGGGTCACGACTAGGATGTTGACAGGCTGGTGGAATGCTGAGACAGAAATTATAACAGCTTTTAAAAGATAATAACTTGAGATTCTCAGAGAAAATAAATATTATGAGCTTTTCTTCTTTCTTTAAAATTGATCATGAATTTCTTACTGACTCAGTCTAAGTGAAAGGTGGTTTCAAGCTATTAAAGAATAAAAATACTTTGTTTTTTATTTCATTTGTATAAACTCTAGAGTCTCCTAAATGAATATCAAGATTTTTTTCAGAAAAACTTTATAATGTTTACATTTTAGTTACTTTTTTTTTGTAAATATACAAAAAAAAACAATGATTTGTAGAACTCGCTGCATACTCAAGGTAGTTTACATTTCAGTAGACATTCTTCCACAAACCTCATTTAGTCCTACAAATTTGAGTGCCCAAAATATGAATTCATGCAGCTCCGAAATATACATTTTTAGGCACACAAAAAAATATCAGTCACTAGAACAGAATGTCTCAAAAATAAAAATGCAAGATCTACATGTAGAAGAATCTGCTCTTTCTATTGGTTATAAACATGTTTATCTGCCATGTAAAGTTGATTAGCAAAAAATAATCTCAATAATCTCGAAGTGGCTTTTTTGGTGGGTTTGATAAATTTATTGATATCACATTTATTGATATTGTTTCTAATTGATTGGAAACTGCAGCAGCCTATTTTTGATGTCAGAAATTGAAGCTCAGATGTATCACATGACATTGAGTATATTTTAAATAGTTCTTTTTGAAATTAAGAAGTAAAACTTTAATAATATACAAATTAGAATTATAAACAACATTTTTACATCAAGTTTATTAACATACATTAATGATAAATTTGGTTAAACAAATTTGGATGTAGCACTGTAAAATATCATGACACAAACAAAAGAACCAAGACTCAATGTGAAGGGTTAATCAGAAAAATTATATATAAAGAAAGATAGCAAGAAAAAGGGGGTCACCTATATGAAAAATGCTCATTCAAATTAAGCTACTTTAAAATTATATTAAGGACATATGTTAATTTTCTCTCTAAGTTTGGATAACAACTACAATCGGTGTATTTAATACCAGCATGGTTTTCGGCATCTTGGAGGTTTAGTAGCTTTTTCTCTTCCACAAGGAACAGTTTTCTTGGTCTTTCCACAGCTACATGTAATATCTACCATCACTCGACATGGATAACAGGGTCCTGTAAAAAAATATGCATAGATATATATATATACATATGTATTCAACAGAAATATCCCTCACTGCAATGTTTACTCATAAACCCTTTCAAAGAAAATTGATTCATCCATTATAACAAAGACAAAGTTTTTAACGATCAGCAAATATACAGTTTTTAGTACTATTTATATGAAAATATGATTACTTAGATTTCAATATGATAAAATAAAATATAAAGTTGACTGGAGATTTACATCTCTACAAAAAAATATTCAAAACGATTAGAAAAAAAAACCTTTACATTTTTTTATAAATTTGCACATAAAATGTTTTTATATAAAATAAGATACAAAAGTTTATAAAATAATTTTAGCTTAATGTTTATTTTATACAATGCTGATAATGATATCAATAACTTCTGTTGTTTGAAAGAAAAGACTTTAAAAGATGTAAAAGCTCATTTCAGCCTCTCTTCACAATAATGTATCTGATACTATAAGGTGTTCCAAATCATATAATGTCATCAATACGAACTTCTGTTCAAAATTAAGTAACTATAAAGATCTGAACCAGAGTAGATTAAAAATTAATTACATGACATAAATTTATTTACATAAAAAAACTGTAAAGAAGTTCTTAACATCATAAATCAAAACACCAGAAAACGAAAGCCTATTCTGAATAAAATCCACTGAATCATCAGTCAAGTACCCTCACTGTTAACAATATTTTCAGCCTCAGTAATAACTTATGATATTCAGCTAGCTTAGAAGTTTTACATTAGTCCTATACTAGTTGACAATGCAAATAAAAAATCTTCATAATTTTAAAAATTAACCTAAAAAGTATTAAAAACATTATAATCATAGTAAACACAATCAAGAACTATACTGGAAAATGGAGTAGGTCATTACTTACAAAACACAAACACTCCAGTTGTCTGCTTCTAACAAACATGGCTTTAATGTGAATACAAATAACATTAATATGTTAACAATGCATTCACATACTTTTAATAGTGCAAATTTACAAAGAAAAAACTGAAGCTACATAAAAAAGGCTAAGAAGCAGACATAAACACACACACACACACACACACTAACCACCAATCTGAAGATTTATATCATTGATTCCCAAGGTAAGCCTTATACTAGCATAAGTTATCACTGATTCCCAAGGTAAGCCTTATACTAGCATAAGTTAGCACTGATTCCCAAGGTAAGCCTTAAACTAGCATAAGTTATCACTGATTCCCAAGGTAAGCCTTAAACTAACATAAGTTATCATTGATTTCCAAGATAAGCCTTAAACTAGCATAAGTTATCACTGATTCCCAAGGTAAGCCTTAAACTAACATAAGTTATCATTGATTTCCAAGATAAGCCTTAAACTAGCATAAGTTATCATTAATTTCCAAGGTAAGTCTTATACTAGCATAAGTTATCATTTATTTCCAAAATAAGCCTTATACTAGCATAAGTTATCACTAATTCCCAAGATAAGCCTGACACTAGTATAAGTTATCACCAATTTCCAAGATAAACCTGACACTAGTATAAGTTATCACCACTTCCCAAGATAAGCCTAACACTGGTATAAGTTATTACCATTTCCCAAGATAAGCCTAACACTAGCATAAACTATAAATAATATGGAGCTATATACAAACCTGAAAGGCTCATTGACAGGTCTATCAGGAGGTATAACTTTTTCAAAAATATGACAGAAACATGAATCAAAACATAAGAAATGTCTCTCTCTCTCTCTCTATTAGGAGCTAACGTTAATAACAGTATTAACCACAAGGTAGGAAAAAGGAAACTTTACCCTTAGAAAAATATTACAAAGAATACAAGTTCATATATCTTTATAAAGGTATGCATTATTCAGTGTGCTATTGTTAAGCAGTGTGATTTATTTCAAAGACAAGTGTATTACTGTGCCAACTACTGAACTAAAAATTCCTTAAGTCCTGAAAGAGAAGCAACACTTTGAAGACCTACTTGTCTTAAATAAGAATAACTAAAAGAGATAAAATGAAACTACAAAGCAGTCAAAGGCAGTACATTGGATGTATTGATTATAGTCATTTGCTCAAGACATGAAAATGTGATGTTGGTATAAAGAAATTCATGAAGGACACCCTAAAATTATTACACATTATTATTAGGCACAATTCATTACGCTCTGTAAATATACATGATAAGAGCTAAATTAAAATAGTATGAAAACAAGTTAAAAAAAAATGTCAATACTTGAAAAGTGTTTAATACATCTATCTTGAAGACTCAAATTGTTTGACATTAAAATTGGGAATTATATCAGCTGTAAAATCAGTGCTGCACTTGAAATACCTTAAAATTATTATGTAATATAGAAACCAAAACCAGCATAAAGGCAGCATCTAAACCACAGGTCACAGTAGAATGACCTTCAAACCTCTTTGTAACAAAAACTGAGGAAAGCAATTTCTGAAATGCAGATAAGCATGAAAAAAAAGTGAAGTACATCCAAACTTTTCCTTATTTTTTTAAACACCTATAACTGAAGAACCAATCCAACATTAAGGAAGTTTGTTAGAAGATAAATCAAATTTTAAGCCAGCTGGAGCACTATTATCGATCTTGCAAAGAGAGTTCACAATCAGAATTGCCACACACACACACAAAAGTATTTAATAATCTTACATACCTACCTATAAATAAAACCAATACATGTATGGAAAAGAAACAAACATTATTTATTAACTTTTTGATTACATCTTTTTCTTTTTCGTAAAAGAGAAACAGCAACACTATTAAGAGCCAGGTAAGATAATTGTAAAATTATCTATAGAGTTCAGAGTGAAAATTAGCAAGATTAAAAAGCATACATACATACACAAGAACCAATGTTTATGACTTGACAACAGCTGTTATATCTGAAACCAATATGTATTCTCCTTAACTTGATGACATCAGCTGTTACACTTGTGATTGTTATACATTACAAGTCTGATTATATTATAAAATAATTGTTATATCTGTAATTATGATGTGTTCTCCTTAACTTGATGACATCAGCTGTTACACTTGTGATTGTTATACATTACAAGTCTGATTATATTATAAAATAATTGTTATATCTGTAATTATGATGTGTTCTCCTCACCTTGATGACATCGACTGTTACACTTATGATTCCTGCACATAAGAGTGCGATTACACTGTTGTTCACATGAAGGACACTGACCATCACAACACTGAAAACAAAGAAGTGTTACCTTTTATTAACATGTCTGACTCAAACTGATTTCATTGTTTTGGGGTTTTATGAAGACAGTGCTAAGAAATAAAAAGGAAAATAAATACGTACAGATAAAAAGTTAAATAAGTTAATTTTTGTCTCATCTTTCACTAGGCACATGAGGCCATGCATTACTCCAGTTTCTTGGGGAACATGTGGATCAGAATGGTGACACATTCCACTGAAAAGATGCCAATCCATCACAAGTTAATTCCCAATTACCAACTGATACCTATTTTACAACTAGGTACTGAAATACTTGGGGCTAAAATGCCTTGCTTAAGGACAAAACATGTCCCGAGCAAGCCTCAAAAACCCACAACCTTTCAACAAATCTATATTACTAACCACTACCCCATGCTGGCAACAAATGCATACAAACTTATCATTTAACCCTCTGTCAATAGCATTGGTCCATTGGACCAACTACATATCTGTAGAGCCATACATGGTAACATTTACTATAATTCTGAATTTACTATATATCTTTATGAAATTTGGCAAACTTTCTGTAAACATAGCAAGTCTGTTGTACAAAAAAATCAGATTTTTTAAATACAGTATTTATATACTGTTTTGAACATCATACTAAGCTGCTCCAGGACTATCTGTGTCAGTCTGTCCCTAATTTTTGAAGCAACAGACAAAAGGAAAGGCAGCTATTCAAAAACATACATCTCCAACTCTTGAGCTACTCTTTACCAGTAAATAGTGGGATTAATTGTCACTCTATAACGCCATCATAGATGAGCATGTTCAGGGACAGAATTTTATCCCACAGATTGAGAGTTTGAGTGGTCTTACCACCAGGCCATATTTATATTAAAGATTTGTCTGTGAATTTCCTAAGTCTTTTCTGAGTCACTCAGAGTGCAAGGTAATTCTCATGTTTTAATATTTAATTTGCATACCCTCTAGAACCTCATAAATGAATATTAAATTTTATAATAAAACATTATATATCCTTTCTATTATTTTCTCTATCTTAACACTAACAATAGTGAAATCATCAATGTAGGGTAAAACAAAACAATTTAAAAATATGAAGTCAAGTCAAGTCAAAAACACCTATTTTTCTTCCTAGAATGACTACCAATTTAACAAATATTACAATTATTTATTCTAATAGCCTAACCTACTAACCTTTTCACATCTGCTTTCATTTCATAAACAAGAAATCTTGCAAAGAAAAAGCTGCTCTTTCTATTTGTTATAAATAATCCAATAGCAATATCAGAGAGAACTGACATTTTTTAAAAGACAGAATGATATGGAAGAGGTGAGTCATGTGGGTTTGACATTTTTAGTATATCTCAGTAAAGCAAGTAGTCAGAGGTTCTAAATTTTTCTTCTGGTTTGTCAGTAACTATAGTATGTGTTCTTAATTAGTTGGATACATGCATAAAATTATATAAGGATAAAAAGAAAATCCAAAATGGGCAACTTGGAACACAGATGCATCACTTGACACAACAAAGTGACGACTGAGAATTTATTTAAATATTTCCTTTTGAAGTTAAGAAGTTAAAAGTTGAGTAATAAGAAAATTTAAATTATAAGCTATGTTTTGATGCCAAGTTTATTAACATACATTGATAATACAGCTTTTATTAAATTTTGAACAGAACTCTATAAAAGGTTGTGACATGTGCAATTTGGTCTAGCCATTGACATGAGATCAATAACAAAGTGGATACATGATATGGGCCACATATTTCAAAAGTGACATATTACAACAACTATTTTATCTTTTTTAAAACTTTCATAACCAAGAATGTACCCAAATCCACTTAATAGTTAAATAGGATTTGTTTATTATTTTTTGGCTTTGATTTAAATTAAATTTATTTATGGACTCACAAAACCACAATCGAACTAGCTAAAATAGAAGGGGAGAACTGCATTGTGACATTTACTGTTTCTTTTGTTTTTGGATATTATTAAGTCTCCAAATGTAATGGTAGCTCAAGCTTAGTGTAGCACTTTGATTTTCAAATGCTAACAGCAGTTCTACACTCGGCGTTTACAGCTAATAGAAGTTTGTGATGTCAAGCAGTATACAGGGCAATAAACAGACAATGACACTCTCCTGTGACAAATGATCTGTTATATCGTTGAAATTATGTTAGCCAATATTAATGAAGTTATGATTATAATAAATCACTACTTATTCTTCACACTCTCTTGATAATAAAAAGAAATTCATACCAGTAGTCCAACTTCAGCCTTACTTTCACACCTCAACGTAAATAGTTGTGTTGTAACTATACGTAGTTATGAACAATTTAACACGTAATATAACAATACTTAAATAAGTACCCCACAATTTTCTGAAGAATAATTTTTTGTACTTTTTTTTATGTATATTCTGTGTGAAAGTTTAAAGATTTACTTTCCGAAAGCTGTCACTAAATCGAATTAAGCAAGCTTTAAAGTCAACTTTGAAAACATAGTTTACTGAAACTGTTACTTCACCTTTCTACTACATGTATGTCGTCGACAATCTCTCAATCGTTTACACTTGGTTTCACATGTATATTCTTTGGAGCACGGCACAGACTTTTCTCGCTGTCCACAGCGGCAGCGTTTCACCCGCATTTGTCGACACTTAATTTTGAAATCAAAACTAGAATTCTTAGTTAAGCACACATGTACAAAATTATGTCATGTGACAAAATTTAACTTCATTAAAAAAACATTCTTAAAGATGAAGTTTTCCTGTTCATAATAAATAATGACATGTGTACAAAATGGTAAAAAAAGTTCAATGTTTTAAATAAATTTACATAATATATTATCAAATGACTATATAGTACGATCTTGTATAATCTAAAGTTAAGCTTTGTCCAATACAACTAAATGTTTTTATTTTTAAGTAGTTTTTTAAAACAAATGGCACTTGTAATATACTCAGTTTTATATGAAATGTGATTGATAAACTTCATTACAACTTACAAACTACTTTGACTAGCCTTCAAATGAAAACAGTAACTCACCGTCCCACAGGGCCCAGGGTGGCAGCGCTCAGTACATCGATGGATGCCACATTCCAGGAGTTTCTCACAAGAATCACCACACACTGGCACATCTTCTGTACATGGAAGTTCCTTCACTGAAGACAAAAGAAATTACTGCTTTCACAGTTAAAATAACTTATATGTGGGTGTATATGAGAAATTCTTCTTAAAAGAGAATTCAAAGTGATTCAGTATGACCACTCCAGTATCTTAGCTTCCTAGACTATCACAGAAATAATTCTTACATTACTTATACCTATATATCTGTTTCGCAATGAAACACAATGATATCTCTACTTAGATTTTATATGACCAAAATTATGAATAGCAGATTCTCACAAACATGAAGTTAGAACTTGGATTGACACCTCTCATATCAGTTCTCCAACTTGTAACTGAAGCTAAAATTACTTAAGTAATGTAAAACGTAAAAATATGTTGCACATATTTTACTTTCTCTAAAGACCAGTGTACACTTATTGAATTAAAATGCACAAATGTCATATGTATTGAACAATTTAAAAAAGGTTTCAAAACTATAAATAAATTCAATATATATACTGAAACATGGAAAGTGGAAGAAGCCTTAACTGGCTTATAACCTCTTTCATTCTAGAATGAACACAAATTATAACATGAAAACATAAATGTTTTAGACGAAATAAGCTTAAATCTCATAACATTTATATATTTATATATATATATTATTTTTGTTATATTGACCTTTCACCTGTGCCTGGCTAACAATACAGAAGTTACAACAATGCGGCTCATGTGCACTCATGTTACCTTATCAAATAACATAAAGGTGACCTTTGAT